AAGAGGAAGCAAACATACAGCTCATACTGACTGTGCGCCAGAGAACTGTGCTCTAGAACTCCCCAGCTTCTGGCCTGAGCCACGCCAGGCATGTGGCTGCATTTCCTGAATCAAAAGTGAATGTCTATCCAGTTGTTTCTCAGTTTAATCTCTGCAGTTTATATTAACTTGCAAAGACTGAACTGATTCAACCTTGGGCTTTTTGACTGCCTGTACTTAACAAAAATGACTATACAGTAGAACCAGATTCTTCAAACCCAGGTGGTTCACAATCTGCTTGACTGGGTGCTTTTGCATTGGATGCTTTTGATGAGCCTGGCGGCTGTTTCCTGAGGGTTTTCCTTCAAATGGTACTGTTTCTCCAGCCATCTGGAGATTTCTCAGCAGTCCCAAACAGCTGACTGGAGAAGGAGCACCATTTGAAATAGAAGTCTGAGCAATCATTAGGAGCAACTCAGTGGTTGCATACACTGTTTGCTATGGCTATAAATAGTACCCAACTGGTTCACAAACCCACATTTGATCCAACAGATGATTCAGATTCTACTATATAATTTTCCTATTTTGGACGAACAACCTGTTGCACTGTGGGAGAGCTGTGGGTCTTAAGATCTGCTGATTTAAGCCCATATATTTCTGGTAGTGGCTACTTCAAGCCAAATCAGACCCTGGGGTTTACAGAATGAAGCTAGTGTCCCTGGCTAACCCTCATACAACACCACATTTCTGCCCAATATCAAATTTTAATGCTAGCCTTAGAACTAGACTCACTTGGTTTCAGTTAATTGGAAGACCTGATATGACAGATACATCTCCTATAAGTTGGTTCCCAGTGTTGCTACTTTCAGCCTGAAAATCAAGCACCAATTGTAGAGAAACTATATGGGCTTTATTGAGAATGAACTCCATCAAGGTGCCTGTATTTCAAAAGTGTATGACATGACAACAGAGACTTGCATTTTTGTGGTGTTTCCCATATGTCCTGTACTAATCAATACATTGTGGGGACCATTTTATATTTTGTGTTGAGAGACTCTCCAGTGCTTTGAAAATTTTGAGCATTGCTTACCTGTTGGGAAAAGATTTTAAGGAGGCTAAAACCAACTGCTTCTCTGCTGCCAGACTAAAACTTGACATGGATTTCATTTCTTCAGAGAGCAAAGTTGAAAGAGTATGATTTGGAATAGCATTTCTTTCCTGTAAGCATTTAAAGAAAAATACAAAAGCTAAATGCATTTGACACAGTATAATAATATACATTCCCTGTATTATTGTACCAGTCAGAAATACTAGCAAACTTTGGCAGCAGTGACCAGGAGATGATTGAGTTCAGGATCCTGAGGAAAAGGAGGAAGGAGACGAGCAGAGTAAGGTTGCTGGACTTCAGGAAAGCAGACTTCAACTCACTCAGGGAACTGATGGGCAGGATCCCCTGGGAGGCCAGTCTAAGCA